CCCATCTCAGGGCCCCCTGCACCCCAGCCAGCCTCTCTCTGGTGCCTCAAGACAGGTGAGCAGGCAGCCCTGGGTTGGCTGGTCCCCTGTCTCTGTGTACCTCAGTGCAGGGGCTCTTCTGTGGAAACACCCAGTGCTTAGGTACATGGAGCCCCCATCTCATGGCATGCTGCACCCCAGCCAGCTGCTCACTGACTGGCTGGGGCACCGAGTGCCTCGAGATGGCAGCAAACAGTCCTGGGTTGAGGCACATGGAGGTACGCTGAGGCACATGGAGCCCCCATCTCAAGGAATGCTGTACCCCTGCTAGAGGTTGGCTGGGGCACAGGGTGCCTCAAGACGGGGGCTCTACAGCACATGGAGACAGGGGAGCAGGCAGTCCTGGCCTGCCTGCTCCCTTATCTCCACATTTGACACAACACATGGCACTTTGGCATGCTTTGCACCACCTTTTTTTTCTCAGGTTTTTTTTGCTACTGGGAAATCCTGGTAGCAAATTTTGCTCCAGCGCTGCGAATTGTGGTCTGTGGTGCTGCAAAGAGGTTTGCAGCACCACAAACCACATGTGCCTGTACATCTGGATCCAGCAAGTGAGACCAACTTGTTCTGAGTTAAGTTCATAAGGATGTGAATCTTGACCAAATGTTAGTAGATCAGATATCGGGGCTGTTTTAAATTAACATTTTAGAAAAATAAGCCTGCAAGCATTCTGGGATACAGTTCTTTTGTGTTTTCCTGACCTTATAAGGGTTCTGAGTGATCTATTAATTCCTATTCTTTAACGTCTGTATTGCAAGTTTCTCAGTGTTGCCGGTGCCTTTCTATGCACAAATCCTAGAACATATAAGCGTAGTATAGGCAGACAAGGTTCTTTGGGTAGATGTGATATCTTTTATTAGACCAACTAAATAGTTAGAAAAATTGTTCTTTGTAAGCTTTCGGGCACAAACACCCTTCTTCAGGCATAGGGAGAGTCTGCTGGTGTTTTGTGTGCTATTCTGGGTGGAATGAAAACCAATATGCAAAATGTAGATCTGTGAAAATGCAAATGAATGGCAGTGAAGATCAAAGTGGATGAGAGACAATAGGTGCCAGACAGGTAGGTGGGGGTGGGAAAAGGGGGGAATGTTGACTTGGTGACAGAATGTAGCTGGGAGAATGTAGAGGTTACCTGGGGTTATTGGATAGCAGGCAAGTTATAATGTGCCATAAATCAAATGTCTGTATTTAGTTCATAATTTTTTTGTACCCAGTAGATCTATGAAGTGAAGTTTGTAGGCTTGTCTATGAAAGATGTTTTGCAAATTCCCTTTGAGGATTAGAACTGAGAGACTGGAGAGAGAGGTTGTCTTTGTGAGATGTACTTGTCACAATACAGCCACAGTACAAGCACACAATACAACCACAATATACACACAGGTCATTAAGTATTTTTGTTTTTGATAGATTTTCAGTGTGTGTTCATTCTGGTATGCAATTGTTGTTTGGTTTCTTCTACATAGTTTCTGTCAGGGTATTCAGTACATTGGATGAGATATATTACATTTCTGGAGGTGTGGATGTAAAATCACATAACCCTATTATATGCTTCATTTGCATCTGCTTTCACCTTCCTTTTCTCCACATCTCTTAGGTGCAGCAAGCAACACCAAGATTTACTCCATTTCTTCATGTATTTTCTTTTCTCCTGCTGCTTCTAATTCTCTCCATCCCTTCTCATATTCCAGCATCATGTATTTGCATTGTTTCTGTTCCCTCTGCTTCCTTCCTTCCTGATCCAGCAAGAAATTCAATTTCTTGTGTTTCTACTCTCTTCTTACCCTCACTGCTGAACCCTTTCTCCCATTTTTCAACATTCCTCTTCTTGGGGAAGATCTTTACTACTTACTGTACCTTCAAGGTTCTGGCTGTCTTCTCCTTTCTTATAGCTTTTCATTCCACTTCTTTCTTTTGATTCCCAAGCAACCAAGAAAGAGACATTAACAGTCACTGTTAAGAACCAAGAGGGGAAAAAATCTAGATTTGTATGTGCTTAGGAAAAATGTAGGCACCTAAGTGGCTAAGCATGATAAAAAAATATCACTACTCAAGCAGCTAGAAAACTCAGTTGATACCCAAATTTCAACTACTAAGATCTCTTTGCACCTAAAGCAGGACTTCCCTGCAAGCTAAGACGTATTTCATTTTGAGAAGCTAGATACCTAATTCCTGAATAGAATTGAGGTATAAAGGTGTACATCTCTTAGGCCTGATCTGTTACATGTGTTATGCACACACTTAATGCATACTGAAACCACTGAGTTTCATGCAGAGCACACAAGTCACAATCATTTTCATTCTAAAATATACAGCTTCTGGTGGTGCCTGTATCTTGAATAACAGCTTGCTGGGTATAGCACTTATCCATAAAATTGAAAATGTGGGTCTAGGCCTTCCTCAGGCTGAGATTTCAGACCCACATCTCACACTTCACAGGGGAATGCCCTGATCACCCGTTGAAGCTCTTCCACCCTTTTTATTAACATAAAACAACCACCATACAGCAAAGAGTGGCAAAGTCAGAGGGCTGGGAGGAAGGCAAGCAAGAAAGAGTGGTTAGAGTACTCACCTGGCAGCAGGGAGACCTGGCTTAGGTTCATGCTCACTGAACTGTTTATGAATTTACATTAGACATATACCAGATAAAAAAACAGAAATAATCCTGAGAGCAGGACCTGGAACCTAAGGCTCTCCATTTCTGATTTAGCACCGTAGATCCTAGGCCACAGAGATGGGACCCTGTTACTTGCTCACATTTTGGTCCCAAGGCACATATTCATGGGACTAAATTCTATGGTCATCTTCAACAGGATAGCTGGAGGATGCTTCCATCCAAACCCTTCTATAGTTTGAATCTCCTCAGGCTGTGAAGAATTTTGAACTTTGGCTTCTCCTGTGAGGGTGAGGACTCTACCCATTAGGCAGTCATATAAAAGATGTGAACTGCTACTGCCCATAAGAGTTTTCAGTAGTCTGGATCATAAGTGGATAGAAGCTTCTAAGCTCCAGAGAGGGTTAGGGTTTTCTATTCCTTAGCTCTGCGTAAGACTCCCTACTCACCATCTGTAATCTTTAGGTTGCCTTTTGGAGGTGTCTCACTATCTGCATTGTACAACATAGAGGGGCCTTGGGCACCTTGCCCCTGGTTCCTTGGATTACACTCTTGGGGACATCTTTTAGATGTTAGGGCACCTAACACTCGGTCTGCACCACAAAGTTCAGCCAGCAAAGACAGGTTGATGTGGAGTATGGAAAGACCACACCTAGAGGCAACAGGTCTGCCAGTAAAAATTCCCAGTGCAGATACACCAGAAGGCAGGTTCAGGTGACACAAACTCTGTCAAGTGGGAGAGCCGGTGTAATTTTGAGACCAAAAAAATATTTTTGCTAGCAGAGCTGCATCCTCACCCAGGGGAATGATCATGTTAATGCTACTGTTGTAATTAAAGCAGCAGCAGCCATATATTGTAGATATAGCCAAAGTTGGAGATGCCTTAAGAAACCACTTTGATTTTGCCTCAAGTTAATCTGGCTCTTACTATTCAGTGAGAGCTAGCTCTTCATTTGGTTGTTGTGGGTTAAAAAATTTTGGACATAGATAGAACAAAGACAATAGATTTCTACTGTTACGCATATGGGAACTGAAAGTACTTTGATAATGGACTGAAAGCTATGTAATTTTACAATAGCTTACAAAAACATTTCTGTATCCTTTTTAAATTATGCTGTTGCTTTTGCAACAGCACTCCTAAGCTGTAGGAAACAAATATCCCTACAATAATATAGCCACTTTTCATATCAGCAGAACAGCATCATTCTCAATTTTCTGTTGAAAAGTGCTCTGATACTTTCTATGCTAATATCATTGTTTTCTGGGTTTAACGCGTAAACCTAAAATATTTACAAATGTGCTTCATTTTTGCTTTGAAAAGTTATATGAATAGAACTAGAAAAATGATCAGTGCTTACCTAGAGTTTTGAATAATCTTTCTGATAATAGATTCAGTTCCTATATCAGCCTTTGTATTCTGTGACATGCTGGGAAATACAACTGCCCTCTAGTTGCTAGATGTTAAGTAAAAAAGTGCCTGCTAAACTGCTTTCAGAGTTTTGAACAGTCCAACTCTTACAGTCAACAGAACAGGACTAGCTGTGTACTCTGTGGAACGGAGAACAAAAAAACTAATGCTTTAACATAACAGTTACCAGGGTACCATATTTGTTTTTGCAAAAAATTCTTATTGTGTGATGTCTAGATGGTGACCAGTCCAGCATTGGCATACTGTACTCCCGTTCAGCTATTTCACTTTTAACCAACAGTGATCCACCAGAGTATGGCTACTTGAAACTTTTGCTTCATTTCTGATGTCATTTCATTCATTCTTATATGTATAACAAGCTGGTGAACCTCTCTCTTTAAAGAACAGGTTGGAATATGAAAGCCATATAGATGCCCTTTTGGGTAACAACACTTTCACTGTCGCCCTAATTGACAACTACATTGACCGAACTATAGTTCAGTTCAAAGCTGTATTTTAATATCTTTCTTATTTGTGCATGCATGTAGTCCATGTAGAAGATAAGATATTCTGCTAGTAAATGGTACTGCATGAAAGAGGAATTTGTTAATGTATTTAATTACACCCATGCAGTACTTTACAACAGCTGAGGAATAAAATCTTAACACTTTACACTAGCTTTCAGAATGGTAACTAATGTTATATGATATTTTGTAAACTTCTAGCTTAAGGAGTTGTGCTTTGGGAAAATGTCTTATATGGAACAATATGTTGAAAGACTATTATGGGTACTAATAAAAATGGAAAACTAATGGTGAAAAATGGTATAATTTGGCACTGGTATAATACATTTATTCTTTTTCAGGTTAAAGAAGCTTCTTGAACAGGAAAAGATCTATCAAGCCCGGAAGGAGAAAGAATATACAAAGAGACTCAATAAATTAAGAGAAGAACTAGTTAAACTCAAATCATTTGCACTCATGCTGGTGGATGAAAGACAAATGCATATTGAACAGCTTGGTCAGCAAAGTCAGAAAATACAGGATCTTACTCAGAAACTAAAAGAAGAAGAAGAAAAGCTTAAAGTTATTAGTTCAAAAACAAAAGAAGATGGACAAAAACTGATGAAGTTAGAAGCAGAACTTGAACACAAGACATCAACATTTTCTCAAGAAAATGAGGAGATGACTGCTAAACTGGCTAATCAAGAATCGCATAATAGACAGCTCAGGCTTAAGTTGGTTGGTTTGACTCGCAGAATAGAAGAGCTGGAAGAAGCCAACAAAAACCTTCAAAAATCTGAAGAAGAACTACAGGAATTAAGAGATAAAATAGCAAAAGGGGAATGTGGGAACTCTAGCTTGATGGCCGAGGTGGAGAACCTTCGCAAGCGTGTGCTTGAAATGGAGGGCAAAGATGAGGAGATCACAAAAACTGAATCCCAGTGCAGAGAGCTGAAGAAGAAACTGCAAGAGGAAGAACACCATAGCAAAGAGTTGAAACTTGAAGTGGAAAAATTGCAGAAGAGAATGTCAGAACTGGAAAAGCTGGAGGAGGCTTTCAGTAAAAGCAAGTCTGATTGTACCCAGCTGCATTTAAACCTGGAGAAAGAAAAAAATTCAACCAAAGACTTGATAATGGAGCTAGATACAATGAAGACCCGAGTGAAAGACTTGGAATCTTCAGAAAGTAGATTGGAAAAGGCTGAGTTAAGCTTAAAAGATGACCTTACAAAGCTGAAGTCATTTACTGTCATGCTGGTTGATGAAAGAAAAAATATGATGGAAAAAATAAAACAAGAAGAAAAAAAAGTTGAAGGTCTGAACAAGAATTTTAAGGTGGAACAAGGCAAAGTTATGGATGTGACTGAGAAACTGATAGAGGAAAGTAAGAAATTTTTGAAACTGAAGTCTGAAATGGAGGAAAAAGTGTCCAATTTGACAAAGGAAAGAGATGAGTTAATCAGCAAACTGAAAAATGAAGAAGAAAAATCCTCTGAACTGAATTGTAGAATTGATCTGCTGCAGAAGAGAATTGATGGTATAGAGGAAGTAGAAAGAGAAATAGCAAGAGGTCGAGCCAGAAAAGGACTAGAACAAACTTGCCATGAGGATAACAAGATTAAGGAACTAACCACTGAAATTGAAAGACTTAAAAACCGTCTCAAGCAATTGGAAGTGGTTGAAGGAGATTTGATGAAGACAGAGGATGAGTATGATCAGCTGGAGCGGAAATTTAAGACTGAGCAGGACAAAGCCAACTTCCTGTCTCAGCAACTGGAGGAAATGAAGCTCCAGATTGCTAAAAACAAAGCAATAGAGAAGGGTGAAGCTGTGAGTCAGGAAGCAGAGCTGAGGCACAGGTTTCGGTTAGAGGAGGCCAAAAGCAGAGATTTGAAAGCAGAAGTGCAAGCTCTGAAGGAAAAAATTCATGAGTTGATGAACAAAGAAGACCAACTTTCCCAGCTCCAAGTTGATTATTCAGTTCTTCAGCAGCGGTTTATGGAAGAAGAAAATAAGAACAAAAGCATGGGGCAGGAGGTCCTAAGCTTAACAAGAGAGTTAGAGCTTTCTAAGCGATACAGCCGTGCCCTGAGACCAAGTATAAATGGCAGAAGAATGGTAGATGTTCCTGTGACATCCACTGGAGTGCAAACTGATGCAGTAAGCAGTGAAGCAGCAGAAGAAGAAACTCCAGCTGTGTTCATAAGGAAATCCTTTCAAGAGGAAAATCATATCATGAGTAACCTGAGACAGGTAGGCCTGAAGAAACCCATGGAGCGCTCATCTGTGCTTGATAGGTATCCCCCAGCAGCAAATGAGCTTGGAATGAGGAAATCTTGGATACCATGGATGAGAAAGAGAGAAAATGGACCCCAGACAACTCATGATAAAGGAACACGAACACATGGCAGTCCAGAACATCCTGGGGAGGTTGTACTTTCACCAAAACAGGGACAGCCTCTTCATATTAGGGTGACTCCAGATCATGAAAACAGTACAGCTACTTTGGAAATTACCAGTCCAACATCTGAAGAATTCTTTTCAAGTACCACAGTCATCCCTACCTTGGGAAATCAGAAACCACGGATTACCATCATTCCCTCTCCAAATGTTGTAGCCCAAAAGGCAAAGAGTAGTGAGAGCACAATGGGTCCAGAGCGTGCTATGTCACCTGTTACTATAACTACTTTCTCCAGAGAAAAGTCCTCAGAGGGAGGGAGAACTCCGTTTATGGATAGACCCACATCCCCCATTCAGATTATGACAGTGTCTACGTCTGCAGCACCAGCAAAAATCTCTGTCTCTCCAGAATCACAAGATATGACCATGGGAAGGGCTGTCTTCAAGGTAACACCAGAAAAACAAACTGTCCCGACACCAATCCGGAAGTACAATGCCAATGCCAACATTATAACCACAGAAGACAACAAAATACACATCCACTTAGGTTCTCAGTTCAAACGCTCTCCTGGTGCCACTTCTGAGGGTGCAAGTCCTGTGATAACAGTCAGACCAATGAATGTAGCAGCAGAAAAAGAGGTTATGACTGGTACTGTCCTTCGTTCCCCCAGGAACAATCTATCCTCAAGGTCAGGAGCAAGTAAAGTAACAAGCAGCATCACTATAACTCCAGTTACAACATCCTCCACACGAGGAACCCAGTCAATGGTAAGTAGCTTCAGGCACTATGAGATACTCACTGCAGGGAGAGGAGAAACTATGTTATGAATTGGTTTGAGTCACCAACATGGAAGAACAGTTAGGAAACTGTTGACTTCAGTTGAATTATTTGTAGTTTGTGGTGAGAAAATGGTAACCAAGGACACAATGTGTGTGTGTGTGTGTGTGTGTGCGCGCGCGCGTGTAGGTGCGTGATTTAATAGTCTTTTTTGACATTCTGTCACTTCAAGCAGCTGAGGTGAGACATTTGAGAAAGCCCTTGAAGAGCTATGGGAAATGAAAGAGTGATAGCATTGTAAACTCTCCTAGGATGTGGAAGGAGAGGACAGAGGATGGCAGAGGAACTGAGTGGTATAGAAACCTTCCCCCCACCACCACTTTCATTTTTTGTAAGAGCTAATTTTGGAATTTAAAATATTGTTGACACTTTTGGCCTTAGCTTTTAGCTGATTTTTGGGGTGGAGGGTTAAAGAAAAGAAACTGGTGATGGAGTCAGAGCATAAGCAATGTGTAGGGAGGGCACCGGGGGGGTACATGCCCCCCCTGAGAGCACTGGTGCCCCCCCGAGAGTGAGTGCTCCAGCTGTTAAGGGGGCATGGAGAGTGCCGCCCCTTAAATTGGGTCCGCTGCTGCCATGCCACATGCAGAAGCGCCAGGCCTTTCACTGCTGCTACTGCACACACACTGGCTGGCCCCTGGGGGACATCCCCGGCCATGTCCTGCTGGTGCTCCCCCCC